AATTTAACACCATTGCTCTTGGGGTACCTACTGCCAGTCAGTTGTGGACGGTCATGAGCCAGTAATAAGGCTATTGCTTTATAATGCTGGCTACTGCAGAAAAATTAAGTTGCTTCTTGGAGACAGGAATGTCAGTGATTCCAGAAGAAGAATTGAGCTTATAACCAAGGGCACGGAGAAATCCACTAGAACCGGGTACAAATTTAAGCCACCTACTACCATCGTAATGTTGTCATTAGAGTTCCAAATATGAGTAAATAATTGATAAAGTGTAATAATATATGATTCATAACAGTAATCAAAGTTATGTTAAATGTGCAAAAACACAGAATTAAGGCTGTAATGAACGTGCCTTGAAACTTCAAAATCATGCACACCTTTAGTACAATTTTCAGGAGATTGTAATGAATCCTGTAGAGTTTAAAATATTACAACTGAAGATTAAAAGGATAGCTAAATTTAGGTACTGATGTTTCTATTCACTTCCTGGATTAATGTATATGTGACTGCAAAGGAAAGGAATGCTCAACAATGTGAAGTTACTGAATACAAAGGGAATTAGCTCATGTCCTGGTAAAGACCAGAAACACCAACAAGGGAGGACCCAAGGTACATTTCCCCCTTTCAGAACCAACAATTTACTTAAAAGCTTACAACAAATGTTTGTTTCTTGACGGTTAATGTGTATGATTATGCCTTGCTATTTAAATAGATCCTCGTTAGGTCCTTGCTAGAGAGTGGGCTTTCTTGTTTGGCTTGTCCTTTGCCAAAATGTCATCTAGAATGGAGATATTTACTTGAAGTCATTGGATTTTGAGGGCTAGAACTCAATGATGTATTTAGTTCATCAACCTCAATGTACTGTGTTGGTTATAACAGTAAGAAAATGGTGGTGAATTCTGACAAAGTTTCTCGCCATCCCCAACTAGCTGGCTCTTCAGAATAGAAGTAATGTAAAGGGCAGCATCGTTAGTAGCTTCTCCACAGTCACTACGTCTTTGAAGAAAAGCAGTCAAGTAGAATCTGATGAGGTGATTCTGGACTTCAGCATTCTGTGAAGTGAGAAAACACAGATATTTAAACAAATGTAATAGATCAAAAAACTGTTAAAAGATGTCACTCAGTTCTGGATGATTGAAAGTTGGAAATTAGGCTCACATTTATGAATGATCTGCCATTACAGCAATGTAAAGTCAGATGATTTTATGGAACAAACACAGAGATTGCAGAAGAAAGTCAGCAGGCTCTTCAGAAGAAGTCATACCAGACTCAAAATATTAACTGCATTTCTCTCCACCACTGCTGGCTAGACCTGCTGAGTTTCTTCAGTGTTTTCCTTGTTTTGTGTCAGATTTCCAATAGCAACAGTATTTTACTTTTACTTTCGGGTTTTTTTCTTTATTTTATAGAAGTCAGCTGAACTCCTTGTACTCAGATTAAATTAATCAATAACTTCTATAATCTTCTGGAAGGCAATAATGAAAGTGTTTACATCAGCCAAAGAACAAGACACTGTAAAGTGGTTTTCATAAACATTTTTGGTGTGCACATCACAACATTATGATCTAATATGCCCCAATATTTTAGTCTTTTTTACATCATGATCAGACTTCCCAAATTCTTCAGCAGCATAACTCTGTGACTTTATCAGTTAGTGTTATTCAAAACCCAAATTTCACAGATTTCCCTGCTCACAGTTGCATATAGAGGAATTAAAAAGTAATGGAGCAATATATAATTGTGACACACGGCTAGATATGGTGGTGACTGATCTCCATGGCACGCTTCTTTGGCTGTGAGTCAATACAAGCATTCACCCGGTTTTGAGTGCTCTAAAACCAAATTACATCATTTCTGGAAATGATATTGAGAGAAAGAACAACAAAAACTCTTCCTTTGAATGTTCTAACCTATTCAGACTTAATTTACACGGAGGGGATTTGCAGCAGAAACTGAGTTAGATTGTCAAGTGCAAGGTTCCCTTGTTGAAGCACAAGCAATAATGCCTCCTGCCACTCAAAACAATCACATGGATCAAATGGAAAGAGTTTAATTCAGAGTCTGGTCTAATGAAGTAAATCAAAGTACAATCCTCAAACATCTTTTTGTCAGAGTTTTTTTTTCAATACACATCTTTAGTTTGACCATAGTTAGATCCAATTTTAATTACCAATAGATAATTGCTGTTGTAACATAGCCAGAAAATATGTGCTCTTATGGTAGATATGGCACCCTTAATAAATGCTTATTTCCAACTCCCAATCGTTTGGAATTCACATTCGTCTTACTTAAGTTTACAGATTATCTTAAAATCATGAATTACATTTGATCAAATTTTAATGCCTGATTTTAAGATAACCTGGTTTTCATAAACTTTTTTGGTGTGCACATTATGATCTAATATGCCCCAATATTTTAGTCCCATGGAGGGGATTTGTGTTGAATTTGAATAAGTCAGTGATAAGACATGAAACCCAATTTACTTGACGAGTGATTCACAACAAAAAAGAAATGCAAAAAGCAACAATAGAAATTAACTTTTTGTAGAAAATAGTTATACAGTTCTGAAGGCGCTGATTATTCATTAAACTCTAGCATTTGACTGGGATACCAAGCCATTTGATAATTTCGCATGAGGTAAACTAAAATTTGATAGAGGATTCTCCGTTGGATTTCACACAGAACTACATCAATTTGTTGCATTCTTTTCTCTAAAGAAAGGTGCAATTTGTGCATGTTGAGGTAAAGCTTGTTAATGCTGGAGGGTACAATAGAATACATTTCTATTTTTGTTAATTGAGGGACAGTATCAATTATGCAAAGGCCAGATACAGCACATTTAAATGTAGAAAATAATCTTGCATTCAACAATTTGTCACCATCAATCACTTGATAGTGCACATGATTATCCTGGTCATGGATGCTGTGTCTAGCAGTTGCTTGCACTGGTCATTACTTTGATAATAAGGACATTCTTTAAGTTTCAGGATCATTTGGTGACCAGAAGAATCCCATCGGAATTGCAATTTCTGACTCCTTCCTTTCCTTTGGTTCTTTTCCAGAGTTGAGCATCCTCTCCAATCCTGGTGTTGAAGTCCCCAAGGAGGATAACTTTATCTTCCTTAGGGACGTTGATGAGTATGGTTAAGGTTCAGGGTTGAGTAGAAGCCTTCTTTGGACTCATCTGTGGCATCAAGAGTTGGGGCATAGGCATTCATGATCATTGTCTGCTGGTTTGTGACAAGTTGTAGATCGACAATCATGAGGCGATCATTGATGCCAGCAGGGAGCTCTGAGAGTCAGATGACGAATTCATTCTTCTTAGCGAATCCGATTCTAAGCATGCTGGGTTGGTTGTCGGGTTTTCTTCCCCAGATAGAAGTGTAAGCACCCTTTCTTCCCTCAGTTGTCCTTTGCCAGCTGTTTCCGTGGATTGCTGTGGTGGAGATGCTTGAGTGTTCCACTAATCAGAGAGTGATGCCGGAAGGAGTTCTCCACACCTGGCAACGCCATCCTGATGGTCAGATCAGAGGGGAAGAACCAGACAAAGCACTATCTAAAACACGTCTCAGCAGCAATTGAGGTGGGAGATATTTGTGTGAATCAACGATGCAACCTTGCTCTTTGTATACCTTTTCTGCAGCTGTAACGTTGAGTTCTTTGCTCTGATCTATTACCCTGTTGCACTTTGTATGGCATGCTCTGAGTGTGCAGCATGCATAACAAAACATTTCACTTTTCACTTAAGTAATGTGACAATAATAAATCAAATCAAATCAAAATATTCAATGTTCATGGTTCCTTACAACTGAAACTGGATTTACTTTCTGTCAAAGGCCATGTATCTGCTGATGTGCAACAACATTCCCGTGCTATAAGATGTCCTGCACGTGGCATCAACCTCAATGAATTCAACCCTGCTGTACACAACACAAGCCCATGATGGTTAATGAGTGAGGATCGGGCCAGGGTTGTACACTTTGGAAGTCCCTGGCTTCAGACTGGCAGATAGGTGGGTAGAGTTTGACTCAGTCATTTCACTCTTGGAATTGGAGCAGCAGAGCATTTTTACAGCTTTCTTCATGACTGAACAGCTCTCTTTGGAATCCACTCTGCTCACCCTGCACAGGAAAGGGGCTAGAAAAGGCACCCTAAAAATAGTCTGTTCCATTAGCACCCTGCCTGGAAAACCACATCCAGTGGACTCAACTACTTGCATCTGAAAACCCAAGTGAAACTCAATCTCGGAACCTGGAAAGTATGAATCCATGTGGATAATGAGCAAAACAATCATCCAGAACAAAGACCTGCCCTTGTCACCCTGGTCTCAGGCACTTCATTCAATTAAATGATTTACCTTAACTAAAGTCTCAGGTGATCATTTTTCCATTGTATTATAATGAACTCTGCATGCTGTGTAGTGGTCATTATGATGAAAATTATTTGAGAAATTAGTTTAGAATATTGCAAGCTTGCCTTGTTTATAGCCAAAAACAAACAGAGGTGAGACTTTCAACTTGCCTGGATCTGAATACTGGTTTCAAAGGTGTCATTTTGTTTTCATTAAGTATAGTTCAAAACAAAACTTCTACATTTCTTTCCCTCTACATGGGTCAGACCTGACATCTGTTCCCAAGCCTATTTTTCACTTCATTAACTTTAAAGTTATAGCTGGGATCCACTGGCAAATTGTTTCACTTGCAAACCTAAAATCAAGAACTCATCATCTGAGTAATTGCGGACACAAATCTCTCACGTTCTGGTTTCCTGAAACCCAATCAGTTGGAACAGTGAGATTTGCATAACTGAAAAACTTGTGAATGGAAAATCCTTTGGCTCGCAATGTCACATAGTTCTTGACGGGTGGAGCTCTATAAAGACAATGGAGAACACCTATCAGAAATCAGTGGAGTTACAAAGGACAGGGACTTCATTATTTTAAAACCATTTAACAGTGTACCACATTCACCGACTTACCAATGTTTTGTCAAGATTAAGTGCTATACTGCTGTGCATACAGTGCTCACTGTCACTTCAATCTCATTGGCCACAATGTCAGAGGATTGGACATTTCGATCGTACATGGGATTTTCAAAAGTTGCTCGACCGTTTGTATTTTCATGGCCTGCAAAACCATTGAATGGTACTTTTGGCCTTTTCCTGAAAGAAACACAGAACACTGTCAATCCCAATCCTTTTACAGAATTGAGGCCAACTCCTCAGCTTCGTACCAAGAGTTATAGCTACAAGCACTTCCCACTCACTCCTGCTAAACAGGACTCCAACAGATACAGAACTGATCAATGGACTGATCAGGATTTTACAGCATTTCTGTGAAATTTCTGCAACTGTGCTTGAAATGCAGGAGCAATGGTAAAATACATCTTAAAATGAATCAAACCATTTTCTCTTGATTCTCATAGACTATTACTCAAAACTATTTCCACTGTATATCATTCACATCATCCAAATACTCAAACATGTTTAGATGTGGCTAATATGGCCATCTATTAGCAAATGCATCAGGCCAGGTAAGGATAGCAGACTCCCTTCTGTAAACAACTTTTGTGAATCAGATGGGGTTTTATAACAAGTGATAATGGCTTTGACGAGCTTTTCATTCCAGATTTATTAATCAATTTATATTAAATTTAATGTTAATTGAATTTAAATTCTAGCAGGGCCACTGTGATGGGATTTGAACCTGTATCCCCAGTGCATTAGTCTGGGCCTTATTGGCTTACTAGTCAATTTACATTACCATTACACCATCACCTCCCTTAAATCTACCAGTCTGCTCCTGAAGGGAGTGCTAAAGTCCTGCTATTTCTCACATAAAAATATGAAAGCAGAAGTGGATAAAGTGGTCAAGATGGCATATGGTGCTTGCCTTAATCAGGCGGGGCAAAGTGTATTAAAATTGGCAAGTCATATTGCAGCCGAAGAGAACTTCAGTCAGGTCATGTTTGGAATTTATGTACAGTTCTGGTTGCCACATTATCAGAATGATGTGGAGGTTTTGGAGACAGTACAGAAATGGTTTACCAGAAGATTGCCTGGTTTGGAGTGCATTAACGATTGGACAAACTTGGTTTGTTTTCACTTGAACATAAAAGGATGAGGGCTGACCTGTAGAAGTTTACAAAATTATGAGAGTCATGGATAGAATGGATAGTCAGAGTCTTTATCCTTGGATATAAATGTTAATTTCTTGGGCACAAACATTTAAGGCAGAAGGGGGTAAGTTGAAAGGAGATGGAGAGACACATTTTTATACAAATAGTGGTAGCAGAAAGAGAAGGTAGTGGAAGTGGATACAATAGGAATGTTTAAGATTATGAATAGGCATCATGTATCGGCACAGATATGGTGGGCTTAAGGACCTGTTCTAGTACTGTACTATCCTCTGTTCACAAAGATAAATAAACACATTTCAGAAATTACCAAATCTGTCAGGATGTTTGAATAGGAAGACACTATTTGAAAATGTGTTACATTTACTACAAAACATCCACCAGAGGTAGATTTGGCTGTCAATTTCTATCAGGTCTGCTCACATCTAAAATTACATTGAATAAGAAAATCAGTCTTAAGGTTAACTTGTTCTGTGGGCCAAAGCTGGCAGATAAACTGATTGTGCACTGAACTGTAGCCATTTTGTGTAGGATAGCTCAAGTTAAATTTTGTGCACGCTGTTATAATTGCTACCAGAAGTGAACAGCGTTAACTCATTTCAATGTACAAACAGCGTGTGATAGTGCTTCTGTCTATTAATGGCCATTTGAAGGGTAGCTCCAACATTCAACTAAAAATACCTGCTCAGATTGATATTACAGCAGCAAAAGAAATAGGAAAGCACCTGAACAGAACCAACATTTGGGAGAGTAGGGAATTTAATGTGTAAGATAATGGAAACTAAATAAAATCCAATGCTGTTCAGGTGGGAAAGCACCCTGTATGCTGGGAGCACCTCTTGTGGGTCACTAGTGCTATTGTTGCCACTGACCTCACAGCTATGTCTTTTTTTTAAAACTGCCTACTTTTGTTCCCAGGCATGCCCAGCACATAGGAACATAGGATTTAGGAGCAGGGTTAGGGCATTTGGCCCATTGAGCCTGTTCTGCAATTCAATAAGATCATGGCTGATCCAAGTGTTGCCCCTACCTCACTTTGCTGGTCCCATAACTCTCATCTCCCTCCTCTATCAATAATTCCACTCACACAGCCTTGAATAAACTCAATGACCCAGCTCCCCTGCTTGCTGGGTGAAAGAGGAATCTCATTGAGAGATCGCCACATCAAAATGAAGACTTTTTTTTACATTGTGTCTACTAGTTCTAGTTGCCCCACGAGAGGAAACACCCAGTATCCACCACGTCAACTCACCTCAAGGTTTTCTATATTTCAATAAGATCAGCTCTCATTCTTCTCATACCCAATGGATCTAAGTTTAAACTATTCAACCTTCTACCGTAAAATAAATCCAATAAAAATAACAATCCAGGGCTAAGTAAATTTTCAGATAAGTGGGACAAGATGCCAGAAAAGGGTGGTGGAGGAGGAGGGGATGAAGAACTCTCAACAGGATGTCATATCCACCCAGGAGGTTCAGGGAGCTATTCTCCCACCTGGACCTCAGTGATTGACAAAGTATCTGACTCCTGTGCTTCGGTAATGAGGATCTCAATGAAATCTTCTACTTGCTGCAGCTACAAACTAGGTGGATCGGCCATGCTAAATTGCCCGTTGTGTCCAGGAATGTGCAGGTTAGGTGGATTAGCCATGGGAATTGCAGAGTTACAGAGATAGGGTAAGGAAGTGGATCTGGGTGGATTGCTCTTCGGAGAATCAGTGTGGACTCGATGGCTTGCTTCCACACTGTACAGATTCTATGATTCAATGATCCAAGCACAATCTCACAATAAGGCAAGACTGGCATTGCCAGTGGCTGTGAACGTGATCATCATGGTGAACCTTCAGGGTGGAGCTGGAGATATTTGCAACATCCCACACTTTGTTGTCAACTTAGGCTCTCAATTCAAAGGGTGCTAACCAAACAAAGAAAGGTACAGCATAGGATCAGGCCCTTAGGCCCATCAAGCCTGCACCAACACATGATGCCTTTCTAAACTAAAAGCCTTACGCGATTGGTATCCCTCGTTTTCTGCCCATTCATGTATCTGTCAAGACGCATCTTGAATGTTCCAACTTGTAAAGCAGTGAGCCGACCTTGGTTTGACAGAACCTGAGTTTCCACACTGTGGTTAAGGTACCTTCAGCTTGTGCTGTCATGGAAACTGAGATAACAGTCTTCAGGTGTCACATCACAGCTAAGTGGACAATTTTGTTGATGGAGTGGTCACCAGGTCCATGTGGGAAAAGATGAGTTCCAAACTCTGCACAAAGGTCTGTGCAGGGTTGGTACAGGACTCCTCCATGCACGAATGTAGATATTCCAGCCAACACCTGAAGCACTAGCCTTTTTTTATATAGCTACACAAACAGGTGGCTGGAAGAACACAGCAAGCCAGGCAGCATCTGGAGGAAAGGAGAAGTCAACGTTTTGGTATTACCTTTTTTCAGGACTCCTGTTTGTCTACCTTGGATTCAAGCATCTGCAGTTTTTTTTTGTTGCTAGCCTTCTTGTATAGCCTGCTTTATTGAAGTGCTCGGAGTCCTGTATAACAGAATGCACACACAGCCTTTCCTCGCTCTGCACTGGCACCTGTGCTGCTGTTGTTCCCTGTCCTGTCAGCAGGTCACCAATACCCAGTGTATCACCCTATGATGTCTAACTTCCAAATTATCATCAAATTGTACACAGTGTGACAACCTGAGCTGGTGGCTGCATGTGAAGTTTTGAGTAGCTGTATTCTTGCACTTTCATCACAGACTGGCCAGGTTACACCTCTTGGTTACTGTTACTGTGAGAGTGAAAGCTGTAAACATTGAACTTTCATCATTTCCTTTCAATGCCCCTGACATTCATCAAATAGAAAAGGTGTCAAAAAGGACAAGATTTTCTGAATTGGCAGCAGTGATCAGTCGACAAACTCAGGTTGTGGCTCACCATGCCTGTTTGACAGTGTGACAGAACTGATCATCCTGTGTTTGCGTCAAAGAGTTATTGAGTTGTACAGCATGGAAATAGATCCTTCGTTCCAACTTATCCGTGCTAACCAGACATCCCAATCTAGTTCCATTTGCCAGCATTTGGCCCATATCCCTCCAAACCTTTCCTATTCGTATACCCATCCAGATGCCTTTTAAATATTGTAATTGTACCCTGCTCCACCACTTCCTCTGGCAGCTCATTCTGTACATGCACCACATTCTGTGCGAAAAAGTTACCCCTCAGGTCCTTTTTAAATCTTTCCCCTCCCACCTTAAACCATGTCCTTCAGTTTTTTTCCAGGAACCTACCATCCTGTGTAGAAAAAAACTTGCCTCGCATATCTCCTTTAAACTTTCCACCTCTCACCTTAAACCTATGCCCCCTAGAATTTGACATTTCGACCCTCGGAAAAAGACTTTGACTATCCATAATAGAGATAGTAGGAACTGCTGATGCTGGAGTCTGAGATAACAAGGTGTGGAGCTGGATGAACACAGCAGGCCAGGCAGCATCAGAGGAGCAGGAAGGCTGACATTTTGGGTCTGGTCCCTTCTTCAGAAATGGGGGAGGGGAAGGGGGCTCTGAAATAAATAGAGAGAGGGGGAGGCGATGATAGAAGGTGGATAGAGGAGCAGATAGGTGGAGAGAAGACGGACAGGTCAAGGAGGCAGGGACGAGATAGGCTGGTCTTGGGATGAGGTCAGGGTTGGGGAGATTTTGAAGCTTGTGAAGTCCACATTGAGACCATTAGGCTGCAGGGTTCCTAAGCAGAATATGAGATGCTGTTCCTCCAGCCTTCAGGTAGCATCGTTGTGGCACTGGAGGAAGCTCGGGATGGACATGTCATCCAAGGAGTGGGAGGGGGAGTTGAAGTGGTTCGCGACTGGGAGGTGTTGTCGTTTGTCACGAACCCATTTGACTATCCATGTCTTTCACAATTTTAAAGACTCGTGGTGCAATCATTTTGGGTGATGGGGCTGTCATGATTGAACAGTTATTAACGTGGGCGAATTGTCAGCTGTAAACTGTGACACTTGCTGTAGTACTCAGCATGTGTGGTTAAGGAAAACATATGATTCTTTGGTACAAGTCCTGACACATAGAGACTGTTGGTGAGTGAGTGATAGGGATATAGTATGTTGAACATCATGTTCAGTTGTTGGTCCACCTGGTGGAATATGGCATTTGATGTTGTGTTCGCTGATCTCGATCACTTGTGGGAGATCACTGAACTCTCTGCATTATTGTATTCAGTGAAATCAGGGCCTTAGAGCTTGGCTGCAGACACTGAGTGCCACAAAGCACTGGTCCCAGTGCCTTCTGACACTTTGTCTGAGTTAAGGGATAGGGGAGGGGTGGAATTGGCTCCCTGTAGATAGAACATGTCACCTCTTATTCACAGCTCTCCAGTGTCAGAAAATTTTGGAATCATCTCTCCACTGTTGGGCTGGATGTTCTGAGAAGTGGCAATCACATGCCATTTCACTTCTTTAATGTAATGATAGAAACTCTGCATTTCAGACAGGAGATTTTGATTCGGGCTCTTTCAGAAATATGTGGCACACTCTTATTGTGACAACTCCTTCACCTAAGGTCCAGTGTTACAGACAGCCACTTTGACTGATTCTGTGAAACGGTAAGCACTTAACGCAACTGTTGAAGTTTGGATGCCGGAATGTGGAGTGCCAGGCCACAAATTGGCAATGGAGTATTTAGTATAGGTCCAGGTGGGTGGGGGTTAGTGTCGAGTCCTGGGGGAAGGGCAGGTTGGGGGCTGCAGGGTTGGAGGTGAGGGAGGTTCGAGTTTTGCACAAGGGGATGGCAGATCAGGTCTTGGCGGGAGAGGGGAAGTGGGTGATTTTCAGGACCCAGGGAGGTAGGGGTCGGTGCATATGTGTGTGCGTATGCGTTGTGTGGTCTTGTGTTGTGTTATGTGTGTGTTTGGTAACTTGGGATGTCAGTTCAATAGTTACTCAGGAGTTAAACTAATTACTTAATATTCTGACTTTTCCTCAGTAGTTCTTAACTGGAGCAAAACCTTCTGAATTCTCTGAAATGAATAGCTATTTTCAGAGGGTTCCAGGTGTAGGGGAATAACCCAGCAGAATCTTCAATTTCCCAGGCAAATCCCTCAGAGTTGCCATTTTGGAATTTACACAGAGCCCCTAGGCACAGCTCCCAACAATGCTGCAGAAATGATTATCCAGCTTTTGGAAAATCCAGACCAGTCAGAATCAACGGCAGATTGACTTCCAGCATCTGTTCCAGCCCCCATGTATTTTCCTTTTAGGTGGAACCTAACGGTTTCAAGGAGTGGAGGCTAGCTATCACTGCAGCAAGTCTTTCATGATTTTGAAGTTGCTTTGAGACTGTAGCCACTCGATAGTGCAGTCAGCATACTAAGTGGCAAGCAGAAGGAATCCGATGTGTTGTGCATATTGGGAATAAAATGCATGCACGAGCCAGCACTGTGACCTACCCCCAACCTCGCCTGCTTCTTGGAGGGAGCAGAGAGTGCTACAAAATGTCACCCCTGTTACGCAAATCTTTAAATAAAACAGATGACCTGACATTTCAAATGCTTTTGCTGATGAAAACTGGTGCTGGAATAAACATCTGTCAACATCTTTTTCGCAAGCTAGCTCAGGTCAGATACAGCATGTTCACAACCACTGTCGAGCATCTTATTCCCCTCAACCTTAGATTATCTTATAAAAATTCTTTCAGGGGCCGTGCACATTGCTGGCAAGATGTTGCCCATTGCTCGTTGCAAAAGTGTGGCATTTTGATTCCCACATCTGTCACTCTCATTTCCCCAAATAGGATAATATATTCAGTAGAAACACTGACAACTTGCAATGCTTTTCCTGAGACCTCGGAACTCCAGGCACTTGAACAGGTGCTGCAAAATCATAGAATCCCTACAGTGTGGAAGCAGGCCAAACAGCATCCCACTCAGGCCTACCCCCCTTCCCTATCCCTGTAACCCTGCATTTGCCATGGCTAATCCACCTAGCCTGAACATCCCTGGACACTATGGGCAATTTAGCATGGCCAATCCACCTAATCTGCACATTTTTAGACAGTGGGAAGAAACCAGAGCACCTGGAGGAATCCTATGCAGACACGGGGAGAATGTGCAAACTCCACACAGACAGTTGCCTGAGGCTGGAATCAAACCCATGTCCCTGGTGGTATGAGGCAGCTGTGCCAGCGACTGAGTCACCATGATGCATAAGCTGTTGGTCTCTATTTCAAAAGAAAAGGCAGTCGCAATTTCTCCTCAGGTGTACAGAATAGTGATGGGTATTACCAAGTCTGAGTGTATTTGCCCATGAGAGAAAAATCTGACGTGGAAAGAATTTGTTAATTGACTTTACAACTCACTCAGCACTTATCATAACAATAGTATTGGGAGAGACTCAGGACATCATCTATTTACACCTCCCAGAAACATGTATAAGGAGATCTGAAAAAGGGCAAAGATACATTTAAATAACATTAGCAAGATCAAAGACTGAACAAAGTGATACAAATTACCATTCTGTAGAATATAACATAGAATAACTGGGCTGAACACACTTTAAGGAATACAGCAAAGATCAGCAGTTCTTCAATACTGCCTCAGGTACTCAGCGCTGAGGAAACAACTCCATTACTGCTAAGCAGCCAAATATCATGCTACGAGAAATACAACCGGGTATCAATATGACAGCTACCCCGAATTCACGAGTCTGAATGCTTATGTGGTTAGAATGAAAATTGGGACAAACCTGGTCGAACTGCAGCACTTGGCTGACCCGCCCCTGCCAGTGCAGCACTCACCTGTGTTTGTAGAGATACAGTATAAATCCTGCTGTTATCAGGGCAAAGAAAGGCACGAGGATGGCAACAGCTACTGAGCTGCTGCTAGTGCTAAGGTGATGCCCTATCGAATCCGTTCCAGCTTCCAGCGTGTGCAGATCTGAATGAGAGAAAAAGAAACAATTGACATGTTCAAGAATGGAGCTTAAAATACAACTGCAGAAAGAAACCATGAAGTTAGAGAGCATACTTCCATTCAGCAAACTGAGGTTTGCGTGAACAGCAACTTCACTTTGCTTCCTGATATGTGTTGATATTCTTTGAAGTTTACTGGAGTAATATCCAATGTCTCATTGATGATAGAGCTCCTCATAAATTCTATAGAACAGCATTTTTTGACAAATCCCCTTATTATTGCTTGAGCTCATATTCCATAATAACATGATAAATCTCCAGATTTCAAGCACAAAGTAACAGTTTCCTGTGGAGCCTCAAAAGGTCAGGTCACAAGCTGCTTACTCTCCTGTATATTTCTGACACGTGCGGTGGAATTCATTCAGTCCTGGCTCCTACCATCATGCATATTGTAAGAGAACATCTTGTGAACGTACTTCAGTAACTGTGTTATAATGGGCAATTCATAGAAATTGCTGAAAGTTGCAATGTAGAAATTGTAGACCTTTTGTTGCAGTACATTTTCTGCATTTTTCACTTGACTTTTGAAAAAAGTGGCAAAGCACTCACTGTTTTTTCTGTGTAAATTGTACAACTTCAGGCAAACGATAAGGTGCTGTCATGTGTGAATATCTATAAATTACTAGTTGAGTTGCCTTGTTCCATATCTCTCTCTTAGCCTCTCTGTTTTTAAAGGAACTTGATGCATTTTCACATTAAACGCAAAATGGAAAGTTAGGGCATGTCAATAGGAGCCTCAGCACCCTTTATAATCTTGTGATAAGTGTTAATGGTGTAAATCAATCTTGCTAGCATAAAACATGATTCATTACAAATGTAGAGTCCTAGTTCTTAAGATGTTATTTCTTTTTGGGAGATTTCCAAAGTGAAAAAAATGAATTTTTCTTCTCCTTTCTGTCTTAAAGTCCCACCATCCATTTCTTCCTTTTAAACAGGATTTAACATTAACCAAACTATGTCATTGTAATGACACAGAAATAGACGACTCAGTCCAACACCATCTATCCCCACTTTCTCTTGTATGCTTTACCAGCTTCCCTTTAAATGCTTTGGTACTTTTGGCTTTAACTACTGGCTGTGAGAGTGAGTTCTGAACTCTACGGGTAACAAAGTTTCTTCTGAATTTCCTATTTCATTTCTATTAGATTGATGGCCTCTGCCTTTACTCTTTCCTGTAAAAGAAAGATTGGCATGGGAGAAATGGGTTCAAACTCACAGACATTGGCACAAGTACTGGGGAAGGAGGGAGCTGTTCCAATGGGACAGCTTCCATGCTGAATCATGCTGGGACCAGAGTCCTGATGAATCACATAACTAGGGCTGTAGCAGAGCTTTAAAAAGCCATCAGATGAGCACAGTGCTAAAGCCAAAGCCCAGCACAGATTTGCTGACAGCCTCCTCAGGGAAACAAGAGAGCTATTGATGCCATCATTAATTCCTTTTCTTATGAAGCGGCAGGAATCACAAATCAATGGTGTGGTCACAGGCCATCTATTTAGGTGTGGCATGGTGGCTCAGTGGTTACCACTGCTACCTCACAGTGCTATAGACCCAGGTTCAATTCCACCATCGGGTGACTGTCTGTGTGGAGTTTGCACATTCTCCCCGTGTCTGCATGGGTTCTCTCTGTGTGCTCCAGTTTCCTCCCACAGTCCAAAGATATGCAGGCTAGGTGGATTGGCCATGCTAAATTGCCCCATAGTGTTCAGGGATGTGTAGATTAGGTGTGTTATAGGGGGATGGGTCTGGGTGGGATGCTCTGAGGGTTGGTGTGAACTCATTGGGCCAAAGGGCCTGTTTCGACACTGTAGGGATCTATGATCTATGAAGAGCATTCCCCTTCCATAATGATGGTCAAACAGCTTTTCCTTGTTTTTATATTTCCATATGACTTTAGGAGAGAATGGTCCACATGGGAGGCAGGTTAAGAAAGGATATAAGGCATTTGGCAATTTGGATCCAAAACTGGCTTCGTGGCAAGAAGCAGGAGGTGATGGTCAAAGGTTGTTTTTCTGAATGGAATGCTGTGTCCAATGGTGTACGACAGAGACTGATGCTGTGTCTCTTGCTGCTGGCCGTGCACATTAATGATCCAGATATGAATGTAGGAGGTTTGATCAGTAAATTCAAGGATGACACAAAAATTATTGGTGTAAAAATTAGTGACGAGGAAAGCCTTAGACTACAGGATGATACCAACAGGTCGGTTAGAGGGCTAGACTAATGGCAAATTGAACTTAATGTTGAAATGAGTGAGGTGATGCAAGGGAGTACAAATTGAATGGCAGTACCTTAGGAAGCGCAAAGGAGCTTCAACTTAGTTTTAGAAGTATTTGACATTGTAAAGATTGATTAAGTTAAAGGGGTAAGACATGGTAGGAGAGCTCCAAATAGTTGTCTCCTCCTCTTGCTCAAGAAGCCTGAGTTTTGGAGTTGGAGTGGCAATTTGGGGACACTGTGGAGGTTTCACGAGGCGGAGGGTATTGTGGATAGCACATATAGACAGGCAGTCACACCGCTGACTCAGACTCCACAGGCAGGAGGTCTAAGCAGGCAGTGCAGGAATCTCCTGTGGCTATTCCCCAGCAAAACAGGTACACCATTCTGGATACTGTTTAGGGGAATGGCCTCTTAGGGGATTACAGCAGCAACCAAATGCATTGCACCATAGTTGGCCCTGCTGCAGAGGGAGGGAGAAATAGGGATAGAAATGCTATAGTTAGAGGGCATTCAATCATAAGGGGAATAGTAGGCACTTCTGTGGCCGCAAATGAGAGTCCAGGATGGTGTGTTGTGTCCCTGGTGCGAGGGTCCTGGATGTCTTGGAGCATTTGCAGGACATTCTGGAGGGGAAAGGCGAACAGTCAGTGGTCATGGTACATGTTGATACTATCTACATAGGTTAAAAAAAAGGGATGAGGTCCTTAAAGCAGAATATAGACAATTAGGAAGAAAGTAGAAATGTAGAACTTCAAAAAGTATCTATCTCAGGTTTACTACCAGTGCCACGAGCTAGTCAGAGTAGAAACAGCAGAATATATGGGACAAACGCATGGCTGAAAAGATGGTGTGAGGGGAGGGTTTCAGATTTGTTGGGCATTGGGATCAGTTCTAGGGGAGGTGGGACCTGTACAAACTGGACGATTACACCTGGGAACGGAACTGATGTCCTTGCAGGGAGTACTTAGTAGAGTGGTTAGGGAAGGTTTAAACTAGAGTGGCAGGGGGATGGGAACCAGAGGAGTAGGGCAGTAGATGCAAAAATTGAGGGAGAGGTAGAAACCAAGGCAAACGTTACTAAGAACAAGAACAGGCAGGGAAACACTGCTGAAAAGAACAAGGGAGGTGATCTGAAAAGCATTTGTTTCAATGCAAGAAGTGTGATAGGCAACGTAGATGAACTTAGAGCTTTGGTTAGTACTTGGAACTATGGCATTATTGTGATTACAGACACTTCCTGAAAGGGGGACAAGACTGGCACCTGAATGTCCCAGGATTTAGATGTTTCAGTGTGATAGAAAGGGATGTAAAAGGGGTGGGAGAGTTGCATTACTGGTAAGTGAGTATCTCACAGCTGTACTTAGAGAGGCTACATCAGAGGACATGTGCAGCAAGGCCATTTGGGTAGAACTCAGGAATAGGAAAGGTGAAATCACAATGGTGGGGATACACTACAAGCCTCCCAACAGCCAGTGGGAGAGAGAGGAGAGAATATGTAGACAAATTTTGGAAAGATGTAAAAACAGCAGGGTTATTGTACTGCAAAACCTGTCCATATACCACCTCCCTCACCTCCATTCAGGGCCATAAACTGCCCTTCCAAGTGAGACAGAGCTTCATCTGCATCTGGTCCAACCCTGCCTATTACATCCAGAGCTCCCGATGTGGTCTTCTCTACATCGGTGAGACCAAGCGTAGACTATGTGACCATTTCACCTTTGCATGCCCCATAATGGCCAACCTAACCTCCCGGTCACTGCCTATTTCAACTCCCCGCCCCGCTCCCCCTCAGACATGTCCGTTCTTGGCCTCCTTCAGTGTCGCAGTGACTCAGAACACAAATTTGAAGAACCACACCTTATATTCTGCCTGGGCACCCCACAGCCTGGAGGACTCAACATTGAGTTCTCCAATTTCAAATAACCTTCCCACCCATCCCCTGCCTCCCCTTCCAGCCCCACCTCCTCTCTTCCATTCCACCTTCTGACCCTCCCTTCCAGCCATCAACCGGATTTATCCCTCCCGTCGACCAACCAGGTCGTACCTACCACCAGTGTCCACCTATCACCAACATTCTGCCTCCACCTCTCCCTCCTGCTTTATCTGCAGCTCCCCCTACACCCACAACCAGTCCTGAATAAAGGTAATACCCGAAACGTTGGCTTCTCCTTTCCTCCAGATGCTGCCTGGCCTGCTGTGTTCTTCCAGCCTCCTGTTTGTCTACCGAAGGTTGTTGTGGTAGGTGATTTTAACATCGCCTATATTGACTGGGACTCACTTTGTGCTAGGGGCTTGAATGGGGTGGAATTTGTAAGGACAATTCAGGCGGACTTCTTGACACAATATGTAAACAGTCCAACCAGGGAAAGGTTATACTGTTATAATGGTTTTGGAAAATGAACCTGGCCAGCTGAGTGAAGTTTCAATGGGGGAGCATTTTGGGAGCAGCGAACAGAATACTGTGAGTTTTAAGATACTCATAGATAGGGATAACCGTAGTCCTTGGATGGAGGTGCTAAACTGGGGGAAGGCGAACTACAACAATATTAGGCAAGAGCTGGAGAATTTTCATTGGAGATGGCTGTTTGAGGGTAAATCCACATTGGACATGTCGGAGTATTTCAAACAGCAGTTGATTAGAGTTCAGAAGTAGCATGTTCCTGTGAGAAAGAAGGATAGGTACGGCAAGTTACGTGAACCTTGGATAACCAGGGATGTTATGACCTTGGTCAGAAGGAAAAAGGA